TACTTCAGGTTGGTTGATCGCAAAGGGTGAATATGATTACTTTGCGGGCAACGTTCGGACAATTTCAGGCGGAGATACTTGACATTTGTATTGGACTTATGGGGAACATATTTCCGAATGCCGAATGGAGCTTGTCGGACATACTTGTGTATAGTATATACCCGCATAAGAACGATCAGCTTTACAGTACTGTAGCAAGCGACGATAGATCTTCCACCTACAAAAATGCGTTTCCCACGTAACGTAAAAAATCAATTTAACACATCTGTGGAAGGCGGCTCGGGAGAATTTCCAAATCTCCACGCTCAGCTAACTTTTTTAACCTCTGAAACTTGGAGATAATAGCTGAAATAATGCTTTTGAGCCACACACCGATTATATTGTGTTTTGCAGTCGTATTGCAAGAGAAAAACACCAAAAACCAAGCAAATTTGATACCATTTTGAGAATCAATTTAAGACACATGTTGGTATCTCGATCAAAGTAAGTTAGGTGTTTCATGCAATTTCCGCCCACCTTGTCGTACTTTTGAAGTCGCGTAACTCGTCGCCCATGTGTGTGATAAGGCTGCAAAAACATGCATTCTCAAGGTCGTGAGGAGCTTTATTAGTTTATGCAGGACCCATCGTTGTATCGCTTGTCCATTTTGCTCGACGAATATTTCAATCATCACCGTTTAATGATTGTGATTGGCTGCCAACTGGGCGGAAATTACGTGGTGGGCGGAAATTACATGAATCACACTTTTGATCATTTGCTTACAAATGATGTGTTTAGGGTATATTATTATAGAAGGACATCAATCCTTTTGCACGGGTTATAAATTCGCAAAGACCTTGCCAATATGCATTCTCCCCTTTCCGGATAGACATGAAGAGGATATTTATTTGCAAAGGTTTGCTTAAAATAATTTTGCGCCGTTTGATTGGTTCTTGAACATAGTAAATTGAGTCATGTGTCTTACAGTTAATAGAATTGATTTTACGTCACAATAGCAGCAAAATCCGCATGAAAAGAAGTGCATTCATGACATTACAGTACGACCAGTTCATACCGAGACTATCATGGGATGTTTTTTGACGTCCAAGGCCAACATATCCAGAGCCCCTCCACCATAAATAATTCAACAGCATAGCATCCTCCTGGGCAATTGACTAACCCACAGGTGCACAATACAATGAAAATAATCAAATGCATAGTTATGTCATCCTTTCATGCCGCCACTAAATTCTGACAGATACAAATTATGGTCCACAACACCTCACACATCTTGGCTACCGGTAGACTGAGTGCTTATCCGTGGTAACTCGAGGAGACGACTACAACTAGGCCGCCCCTTGAGCGATCTACCGATGTGGCTCGGGCGATATGAGTGTGCTCAGGTGCATTACAAGCTGAAGACGGTCCTGACAGCCCCCTCCTGTGCATCTGCGTCAGATCTTACAACAGCGCTCCTGCACACTCCATTCATACCTCCTTGTAGACCGGTGATAATTCACGCGACGATAGGTTTTGTATGTGTCTAGATGATGGGTTTGATGGCGGCGATCAAGCGTTTCATGGGCACCGCCGCTTTATCCCATATAACGTTACCAGCGTATATTACTATGGCATGAGACTTTCACTTGGTGCCCGCCTCGTAATGTAACATCACTAACACTGATTTCGTTGCCAACACAACCATCACTGCCATATCTACAGCTAAATGTCCTCATCGGTATAGAAGCATCAAAATCGAGCATTTCGCAACAGCATACAAACACAGTACGTCAGTGTGCCATTGCTACAAGTGGTGTCGTGTAAGTGACGAATACGCTTGCCAAGTGCTAGTGCTGCTCTGTGTGGGAGGGTAGCAGACGAGAACATGCAACCCTACCCTTTCTCCCTTTCTTAATAATGATAATCCAAAACTCAATTATTAATAACCATCCACGCTACAAATCATGATACTATTTTAGTAGAAACATGATTTGTTATGGTGCATTTCATCTAAAGACTACAGATCGGCCATCCTCAGGAGGAGACGTTTTACTATTCAACGCCTCGGTTATTTCAGTTAAACCCACGTAATGTTGACGTTAAATTATTTTTACTTACGTTTTTTATCTGGTAAATAGGTTAAACATCCTGAATAATCCGGATACAATGGAAACGTTCATACGGATAAGTGTTGTATACAAAGACCAAGATATACTTG